AACATCATATTCGTGTTCAGCGTACCAAATAACCCTCCTAGACGAAGTTTCAGCAAAATTCACGATTTTCATTTTCTGGGTCAACTAATGTGGAATAGTACCCATTTTTCATCCATTCTTTCATGTTTATTTGGTTGTTTACATCTCCAACTGTCATTGGTGCAATCATGCCCGTTTAGGTAAGTAGTAAAAGCGATGTCCAGTGGTTGATAGTCTTCGATTCAACGAGAGCTAAAGATAAGAAGAACAGGACTGGCTTGCTGGAGAAATTGCGCCACGACTTTAGCAAGCATACGGCCAGGTAATGACCATTTTTGTTTCTTCTTTTTTTAATAATGACTGTGGTTCATTTAACTCTCATACAACAGCCGATGATTTTGCTGTTTTACTGATTTAGATCACTTTTTATCGAGTTCAGGTTTAGAACACTTTGATTCGAGAAAACTAAGTTCAGTTTTATTATAGGTTGATCGAAGTTTCTGATTCTGTCGAGCATGGTTCATTCTCCGGCCTAGCTCAAGCGGTACAAAACGCTCTCCTCGCCCATCTCGATATCCTTGTTGGGACATGGGAAGCTTCTTTAAATGGATCTCGTGCCAAGTACACAGAATCAAATTGGAATCTGTCTTCATATTGTTCGTCAACGGTGCGTAATATTATTATTCGTCCTAAATTCCGTAAGTTAGCTTTCAACTCAGATGGAATACGCTCGATTGTATTGGAGTCTTGGTGCCCTAGACCATGCCCTTACCATATATGATGAGCTTGATGCATTCCTCCTGAGCATCGTGGCCGAAATGTGTGGAGTTGAGGGTACTATTTGTCAAATCTTTTTTGAAAAATCACATATTTCCTGTATGTCCGGTTTTAGCTGGACGTGAACCGCGGTGGGTTGTTTCATTGCGAAGTGGGGCATTGCCGTTTCGTTCCCTTTACTCTTCATTCGAACAGGCAAAGCTTGACTGTAAGAAGGATCACGGTTTAGTAGGTTGGTTACCCTTCACTGTGTATGAGAACTATTTTTTTCTTGTCATTTGTTGACATTTATCATGTGCTTTTCATTATCTGTTACATTTCCTGCTACTATACAAATACAAGAGATAGTCTCTCGCTCTCATATTCTTCAGGGAAGTTGTAGATTTCCCATTTTTAGCCATTCGACATTTCCTGTTGGCACAACAAATATTGCTCAGCCTCCACATGTATCACGCACGACATCGCTCACGAGGAGCTCCACCATCTATAAGAGTCGATTTTGCTACATTGATACTACGGTATGCAAGGCATGTAATTACTACCGCGGCAGATCAGTCACGAATGGCTTTGGTAGGTATACTTTTCTTTTCGCATGTACATACGCGATTTTGTTAAACTTGGCTGTTAGTGCTTGTCTTGGCTGTTGGACATCTGTGTAGCTTGGAAAATACCGAGAGATCATTTGGATCATACCCTTCAGTCTTGCTTACCTTTATAGGATAAAGATACAGTGCTTTTCCCATCTGTTTCTAGCGCAATTCTAATCTTATTTTGTCACTTCACCCTCGCTTTCAAATGTTTGAGGTAGAATATTAAGAATTTTGACACATCTTCTACAGCAAATAATTCATTTGATAAAACTTCTGAGCAGAAGGTGGGCACCAGCCGCGTCCCGAATCTTTTTGGTTACCCTTGCGAAATCTTAGCGGTGGAGCGCATTTTCAGAGAAGGGTCTGGTACAGCCGCTCTCAGAATAGAGTCATTTGATTCAAAAATTGATTTTTTTTTT